AAAAGATATATATATATATATATATATACACACATATACATATACACACACACACACACACATACTGGGAAGTGTGTGGTTTCCACTCTGCCAGTGCAAATGGACCCTGTTACTCTGAAAAGAATATGGAAATGCCATTGTCCCAATAGAAGGCACTACTGGGGCTTCCACATAATTCTGTTTCTTCTAAAAGTATCCTTTGTGTTCTCCAAGGATAAATGCTATAGGATAATCTCAACTTGAAAAGCCATCAAAGTGTGCCGCCCACAAAAACTCAGTGCAAATCATGTGTCTCAGCAACCTATAAAGTGGTGTGTACTGTGGTAGGGTGTACCGGGATGCCTGACTCTCTCCCCAAATCAGGATTGGCATATGCTACATGCCTGGGTTCAGTATTCAGAGGCTTCCAGAAGAAACAATATAAAAAGGTGCAAGTACCTAATAGTGACTGCTAACAGACAAAACATAAGACTATAAAAGCTTTTAACGAAAACAGGTCATAAACTTGGGCAACTCAAACTAAGTATACTGTATGATGATGAACAAATGTGCCAATGTGAGGTTGAGCCAATTTGGACTTCTAAAGGAAAAGTTAAGATTTGCATGTATGTTTAGTTTCAGATTTTTCGCTTTAGTTAGAGTTGCCCAAGTTTGAGACATATTTGTTTTTAAGTAAATCTGTACATTGCAAATTAGTTGTAGCCATTGTGTATCTGCAGCAGATTTGCATTGCGTTTTTTAAAATACTTTGGTTTTTTTTAATGCACTTTGCAGCTTTATATTTGTCTCGCCCTCTTCTACTTAAATCAAAAAACTCTAATAAACCCCCCTTTGCAATTTGTTTACACATTTTATTTTCCTTTTTTTAACATGTCAGACGTGTGTGTGTGTGTGTTCTTAAACTGAGATCTGCTGAAAATAGAAAAAAGGCAAGAAAAATAAAGCACAGTAAAGTGGCATGAAAAGCAAATAAAGTGAATAAATAGAGAAAAGCAAATCAGATATAACAAACAATAGCTACAACTGCATTACAGTGTACAGAGTTTGTGAAGAGCAGGTTTTTAAGTCCCCATAAATAGTTCACATAATTATTTCAAACTGCGTTCCAGCAAATGTCTGAATTCATTTAGACCCAACTTGTATGGGCCAAAGATTTTCCCCCAATATTTTCCATGGGGAACCAGCTTGACTGGTTTACTGGCTCTGCAGTTTTTGTGGATCAGTCTGAAAGCTGAAATGAAAACACAAGTTTAATCACTAGACCCCCATTGCACAGAAAGGATCAATGGCCATGACACTCATAAAAACATTATTATGCATGTTCTGGCATTGTTATGGATGACCGGGGAACTGCTGCTGTTAATCTCCTTCCCATCTTTCATCTCTCCAATTTACTGTCTGCATTCCCAAACTCATGATTCAGTCATTTCACTTAAGGATCTCTCAGCAGCTCATTCTCTGCCTTAAACCACAGCACCGTTAATCTCACACTTTCAATACATCATTACACTGAGCAAAAATGACAGCTTCTATAACAATGGTATTTCCATAACACTGGCACTCAAAGATCACCAGAGGTTAAGCATACACATTTAGTGCCACGACCTAAAGTTACATTAAACCCTAACAAAAAACTTCTTGCTTCCTTTTGGTCTGTTAAATATAATATTGAAAGCATTTTGTTACATCTGTTTGATAACTGCAAATAAAACCTGTTGATCTTGTAAGAAATTCAGAGCTGTCCAGTGTATTGTGCTAACTTTCTATGTTATCTCAAAGAGTCTATTTAGCCTCCCCTATTGCCCTACAGAAAGATATATTGAAGAGGCAGGAGAGGGAATAGTTAAGCAAAAGGCACTAGGCAGGGCTGACACTATTCAGTCTACAAAAAAAACTGGGTGTTGTCAGCCCACAACAGGACTAGCAGTGGCATGTATTTGTGGCAGATAAACAGGTTGTTTTTTTTGTAGGTATAAAACACTTGGAAATGTGCATGTATTGCAGATGTACTGCATACTGTTTTTTTTGCCTATACATAATGGTTTAAAGAGGTGCTTAAAGAGAACGTTTTCTTCCAAATTTCAAAGCATACATATACAGTATATCGTTACCACCTTGCACCGCATACATACTGTATACATCTCCCCTCCCATTTATACAGCAGCCCTGTATGCAAATATGTTCCCTGGTTCCTGTGGGTATCATTGGTGGCATCAGGCTCAATTCCTAAAGCTAACAGACAAGGATAAGGATCTTTATTTTTCAGCTATATGACTGACTAGTTTTGTGAATAGAAGGCTCCTTATCCTCATGTGTTAGCTTTGAGAATTGAAACTATAATGTTTAATGATTATTGCTTTGCCTTACACACATTAATCACAAAGTGCCTCCTCACATGCCTGCTGCTCAGACAGAGGACTAGTGTGCACTCTGGGAAGCAGGACAGAGGTTTTCCCATGCTTTGGCATTATAACAGAATGCTGACCATAAGATGTCCCAGGACACAGAGCTCAGGGGAAGCTGGGCTCCACCTTCTAGCAGTGCACTGGAGGTAGCCTGTCTGAAAAACAGGCCAAACTACACTAGTCTCCAAATCTCAATCCAATGGAGCATCTGTGGGATATGCTGGAAAAACAAGTCTGTTCCATGGAGGCCCTCTCACAACCTAAAGGATTTGCTACTGACAGCTTGGTGCCACATACCACAGCATATCGATGGGTCAGAGCTCTTTTGGCGGCAGAAGGGGACCTACTCAAATATTTGTCAGGTGGTAATGTTATCCAGTAATGCAACACACCAACCAGCGCCAGAAACACCATCCTTAAGCCAGAACACTTTACTTACTCTGCATCCAGTAGAGGCTGCCCTGTTCCAGTCAGGGATTCCAAAAAAGCTGCATGGAAAACAAAAAACAACCGGACGCCTTCGCTAGTGCAGGTGAACCCTTTTATTGATAAAAAAATGAATACAAAAATATACTCACAATTGAAGCAGTAAGCAAATGCATTGAATAGACTAGCAATCCTTGATTATGCTGCTGCTGTGAATGCAAGGGAGGAGAAATCTAAGAGACACTCCGGGAACTCTGTTCTCCTCACAGAGTCCCACTGCCAACACGTTTCTGGGGACATGCCCTCTTTTTCAGAGCTAGGCAGCCCAGCTCTCCAGGGACAAGGTGCTTAGTAGTAGCCTACTAAGGCGCCCGGTTGTTTTTTGTGCAGGTAATAATGTTATGGCTGACAGGTGTAAGTGGATATTTGTGATTAATGATTATTGCTATGGTCGGTCGCCGAAAAACACATAACAAAAACAATGCATCAACAATTAAAACAATGCATCACCAAACAAAGTGTGGTTGCTAGCCCAGGACCTTGATCTAGAGATGGCTACAGGCAGGACTACCTGGTTGCCAGAGCACTGGCAATTGATGAATGGTATTTTCCCAGCTCTGAATAAAACCATCCATTCACTAAACTGCTAGTGCTACCATGGAAACACTAGCATATGTTAACACAAGTGACTAAAAAATTGTAGGGTAATATTGCTGACCTGTCAAAATGACAGTTTTCTGGCTGTCCTTTTGTCTCTGATATTGTGTAACCATCCTCTGCATGCAATACTTCCTTATTATTATGGTGGTGGGAAGGGGGTTGTTGTGACGTTATTTTTGCATTTTCTGTGGTAGTCAACATTATTAACAAGACACAGTGATGGGCAAGGTGGGAAATCCTTGTCCCTCAGAATCCCTGACCTACTATTCTACTACATACTATTATTTAACTAAATTGTATGTTTGATAGCAGTGAGCTTGTTTTCACATGTTCTAACTTATTCTTAGTTTTTCATTTTATATTTAATAGGCTCCCTCCATGCTTTTAGATTGGTGTTTTCAAATGTATAGTTAAATGTCAATTGCTGAACTTACAACAAGCCTCTGTGTGTACACCTGTAGCTGGAGGAGGGGCACTAACCTCGCTGTATCTGCTAGTCACATCAGAATACATCCTGAAAGGGAATCTTTGCTTTACCAAAGAATCATTAAGTAACACCCTCGAATGCAAAGCAAGCATTTAGGACAGACTTACCTTCCATTGATGGCAGTTGACTATCTTCTCCTTTCAGGCTATTACTGGTGTTGGTGTCAATGACTTCAGTCTTCTCTTCCTTATCAGAACATGACCCATCCTGACTCATATCAGGTGTGTTGTGGCTTCCAATTGCCAGCAGCTCCACTGCTTGTATTTCAGCATCCATCTCTGAGGTGTGAAGATTGGCTAGTTTTAGAATTGTATATTGCTTCTGCACAATGCAGAGGAGAGCACTAATCAACCTAAAATGAAAAAGATCTCTTATAGAGGAAGTAAAAATAATAATTTAATAGTTTGTATAGGTAAAATCTCTGTATGCACCCAGTACATGATAACAACCGTGCCCTCAATGCTAAACAGCTTCTCTTTCAAGGAAACTCCATTCTCCAGGCCTTATCCTGTATTCTGGCCAATGCCTAAACTTTTCTACCCAAATATCCTCCCCAGCAGAGATGATTTAGTCAGAATTTTCTGCAAATTAGGCAAATATTAGACATTTAAGGATAATACCAATTCTACAGAATGTAAGCACATCTAATTTCTTGGTCTATAAGAACTTTTCATTTCCTAAATCCCAGCAATTGTTAAAAAATTGGACAACACTTTTTACACTGGGCAATGCGGTACTAGTTTTAGGAGAACTAGGATTCCCCTGCAAGGTACAAGGTAACCCCATCCTCTTCAATACTGCATTAGCACCGGATTAATTAAAGCACTATTTTATTTCCTCTCTATATGATATGTCAAAATGTGGGACTGTCATAGGCATTGTTCTTGAATACACAGGGGTTATATATATTGGAATGGGGGTGGATCAAACGTCTCCCGTTACCTTCACTTCATTTTACCAGCCAGTGGCAGTGGCTCCCTCTGTGAGCTTGAGTTCAGATTTAAAGGGACTTTCCAATTAAATCAAAGTTTGGAGGCTAGAAGACTACACAACAAGGCAGCTTAATTAATTTTCTGAAATCCTCTTGTTGCAGATAATCTAAAAAGTGATGGGGTACTCTTGACCCCACTCACGTAGTGCTTTGGTTCTTGGACGGTCAGATGGTGTCATTTCACTTAACATTCTGACATCTTCTGCTCATTTTCCCTCCTTGTCATGCCCCTTTATTAGCTGGATCACACCTAGATAAACACAGCCTGGGTCCAGGTGCGCTCGTCTGCAGGTAATCTTAGCCTGTGTGATTATTTGTGAATGGCCTGCGGCAGATTGCATGAGTCTCAGAGAAATTGGTAAGATTTGCCTCATTGGCAGGTGTGGATGGGGCCTAAAGCAGAAGCAGGAAGATGCTTGCACTGCAGGTCCTCGGGTCCCTGACCTTACTTTTTTTTCCATTGCACTAGTTGAATTGGTAGTCTTTTAAAAACTACCTAGAGTTTAGCTTTGACATTCTATAAATTGCTTTTTGGTCTACAAAAGGCTGTTTTTATATTGTGCCCTTTTTTAGGCACTGGCCTCTCTATTCAGTTTTGATAATTATTCACTACAAATATATCTGCTAAAACTACTTACTTATCGGTGCTCTTGTTCTGTGATGCAAGTAACATACTGAGGCTGTTCTCTTCTCCGGATTCCTTTTCAAAACTGTTACATACAGAATCCTGCATTGGAAAGAGAATGATCAGTAAGGCATGTCAAGTAAGCGCTTCAGAAATTACAGATCTAAGGCTTTTTTCACATGGGTTTCATCTGGTAAACGGTAGCCTGAAAGATCAGTTGTGCAGCGAGCTTACACAAAGCATTTGCAAACCCGTCAGCCAGCGTCAAGTAGGATTTCTTTAAGGCTACAAAAGCACCCTCCAACTAATGGTTGGGGATGTTAATGAAAGTTCTGGCTGTCACTTTAAAACTAGCCGCTAGCAGGCTTCAAGCAAGTTTCAGAACAAAAACGTGGTTTCATCCTGAAACTGGAGCTGAAGAACTCTTTGAATGCTTCAAGAAAGGTGTAGCTGGGTAAAATCTTAATAAAAGCTAAATGTTTTGAAAAATATGTTGTACACAAATCGATATTTAGAATATGATTTACAAACTGAAACCTGTGTGAACAAGGCCTGTTAGTGTTGCCCAGAGAAACCAGATTAATGTACTATATTGCACACCACACTTTTTTTTTACTTCCACCGTGCCAAGCTTGCTCCTGTGATGGACTACAATCGCAATAGAAACTAGTAGTCCATCACTGGAGCCTTTTTTTTTATCCGATTAACCGATTAATCGAACTTAATAATCGGCCAACTAAATCGATTATGAAAATAATCGTTAGCTGCAGCCCTACAGATTGCTCCTTTTTATTTTTTAGCTTGCACTGAAAATTCACCTGATGACTAAGGCCCACTGGCAATGGTAACAACAGCTGGTATTTCTGCCCATGAGAGATTTATTCGCTTCATCTAGGGCTCATTCACATGGGTGAAGAAGTTTTTCAAATGTGAATAGCTTACTTATGAATATCCACAGATGTAAGACATTTATTCTGGTCTGTAAGACATATCTATTCATGCTCAATGCAGTGCAGCTAGCAAAAGAAGTCTGTTAGTATCTCCACTGCACTTTTTGGTCATAGAAGTGTGTTGAACAGCACTGCTTTGTGCTGTAGATGTGTATGACAACCTAACTGCACCAAACCTGGAAACAACCGACGTATCCGCAAACTCTAATAATACTTGAAAGCGGTGTCTTTCAAGCCATAAGGCCAACACATCTTTAATTAATTTATCTGGATGAGTTCTAAAAAGAAAAAAAAACAACATGACCTAAAATCATATGTTACTATAAAGCTCAGGTTTTCGATCTTGCTAGTCTGGCTCAATATAAAAGTACTGAAGGGACTATGAAAATACTTCCCTTTCTTGGAGAAAACAATGTTCCACGCTCCCTCCAGTGTTGGTCATTAACCTCAAAATGTTAGGCTTTTGGTCACATAATCTTTACCAAAGGGGAAGATATACTTATTTGACCTCTAAGGGCTAGTTCACACCAAGCGCGGAGCAGGTCCATAGCAGAGCAGGTGCAGACCGGATCAAAACTGCGTCCAATGTATTCCAATGCAAATGCCTGGAACGCACTGAAAGCCCATGGTAAACTAAAAAAAAAATTAAAAAATATTTTCTTTTAGCCAAAAAACTTGTCAAAACGCATCTAAAAGACTAGCGTGCGTGTGCAGAAACCTGACCGGATCTGCTCTGCATTTGGTGTGAACAAGGCCCTAATTGTCCCTTTTGGTGGAGGACACATCTTCCCTGCTTGCTGAGGAAAATAGTGCCCTGCTTCAAACAGAAGCTAATGCAGAGTAGAAGCTAATGCAGAGTACAATGCAAAAGTCGGCATGATTAATGTGGACCTATACTCCCTATACTCATATACTCAGCTAAAATATATTTACTGCTTCAGGTTACCTTCAGTACTTTTCACGTATATAAAAGGCACATGGTCACATGATCTCCGTGGCATATATTTAAGCATTTAGATATGTGTTCAGCACTTGATGAAGCCAGGAACATTTAGAGACCCTACAACCAATTTGAAGCCATGGAAAAAAATAAGTATTTTAAATGCTTATTTGCAGTGGTTTTCCTTTTTTTTTTATTTACTTGCTAGAAAATGTGTCTATTCAATGGGAAGTCAATTCTATAGCATGCCCTCTCCCTCCTTGCAGGTCCTAGCCTTCTCCTCTTCTGTGACTGTCCAATAACTTTTGTGCATGCCCAACTCCTCCGCTACTCCATTTGTTGCTATGGGGGGGAGCAGAGCAAAAGCAAATCATCTGAATCTGCTGACATCACATTGATGGTGCCCAGTAGCAGTCTCAGGGCTTCTATGTAAATAACATGCAAAAAAAATAAAGAGTTTTGTTGAAATGAATGTTCTGGTGACAGGGTCTCAAATATTACAATGTAATTAGAGAATACAGTCAGGGTGTGACCAGTTTTAATAACTGCAATTCAGTGCTTTTAACCCCTGCTTTTCCCATTAAAGAGTTCTAAAATATATTTTTAAAAAACAAACCCAAAAACAATGTAGGGCACATTTAGAAAGCAGGGGATCTGACATTCACTAAACAATCACTGCACGTGAATTTTTCAGGCGCATACATTTTGAATGACAGTGACCGATTCATCACCAGTGAATGTTTGGTGAAAGTCACATACTTTAAAAATGCCACCCGATATTCTGCTGCTGTTATTTAGGCAACAGCTAAAAACAAACAAACAAAAAGGTCTACATTCTTACAACCTGCTGCTTACAACAATGCTGCTTATTCATGTGTGACAGATTAGCTTTACACTGTGTAAAAGGACAGGTCGGGGTTGCTGTAGAAGCCAAATTCCAGATGTTAGTTTCCAGGTTAAAACAACTTCTAGTGTCTTGTAGGCTGTTATGGGTAATAGACACTTTTCTTTAAAACCAATATCCAGCAGGAAGACATGGCATCCAATTGCAACGAATAGGATTTTTTTTTTCTTAGAAATTTTCAGTCAAAAGATTTTGAGTTTACAGTAAAAATTAATTTTAATTTTAAATTAAAATTAATTCCAGTAAAAACATTTTTTGACTCGCCATGATTTTTAAAATGTTCCAAATAAAAGTTAATTGGTGATTGGACCACGCCTCCATGATTACTTCTGTGGAACAACTTTATGTTGCTGCCAATTGCCAAAGGAGAATGATTTTAAAAGTACACTTGGTACGGTAAAATATGATAATTTAACTATGGGGATTCAGCCTATCCGCAAAGTGGCTCTAATTATCTTCTTGACATTCCTCTATTGCACCTGGCTGCATCCTTTTCTTGATGGCCTGATTAAGCATAAAACCCCTTCAGACTGCCAGTGTTTACGTTCTTCTTCACAGTTGTTGTATTTCACTGCACAGGCGCATGTGCCGAGGCTCCCCATAGATATCAATATCAGAGATGAGGCACAGCAGACCCTCACCATAGAACACAGCAACATGCATTGTCGTGTATTGCTGTATATATTATATATATGGTATTTTGCGCTCCATAAGGCGCACTTGACTATAGGACACAGGGGTTATGTGACAACTGCAGTGACAGCTGAGGTTACAGGTGACACCGTGGTTACAGCGCCACGGTCTCAGTGATCACACAGAGCAGATGAAGAACGGACATTCTTCGTCTGCTCTACGGGCTCTATGGTGAGCTTCTATGCCGTGGTCACCGGTCCCCCAGACGAGCGGGAGACCCCGAAAACCATGACGTGGGGGCCCGGACACGATCGCTGCCGCTGCTCGATTTGATACAAGTGATCTAATCAGATCACTTGTATTAAACGAGCAGCGGCTCCCACTGTACATTTAGCTCTGCTTGTCCGGAGCAGGGCTGATTGTACAAAAAAAAAACTACTCGCCCGGCGCCCGAAACTGCATGTCCCTGGCGTCGGGATTCGCTCCATAAGACGCACAGACATTTTTGCCCGACAAAGTGCGTCTTATGGAGCGAAAAGTACGTTAAATAACACAAGCACATATGTTGCAGGTCCAATTTTTTTTTTTTTTGCTGTGCGGTGGCAGGCCATGCCAAAAAGAATGTGCTGCCTTTAACATAGCACATAACATGCAAAATACTGCAGGTTTATATGTGTGCTGAAATCCACCTCAATAAAAGAGCCAGATTGAAGAACCCCTTAAGATCACTCATGCATAATGCTATAATGGAAAGAAAATGTAACTTTTAAAAAGGAAATTTAAGTTCTTTTAGATGGAAAAGGTATGAAGACTTTCCCAATTAGCCTACTTGTTCAGGGTCAGTAACTCAAGTAATAAAGCCAGTGTGTCAAGGGAAAAATCAAACAGTTGACATATTAACTTTTTTTAGAGGGAGGCCCGCAATGACAGTCCCTGCAAATATCTTCTGATAAATGTAATATGCCTACAGACATAGGGAATGCCCACTGAGGTCATTAAGGGTTTTTAGACATTTCCTTATCTAAATGTTCTAAGGGGATGAGTTTATCGGCGAGTTGGATCTTCCCGCCCAATCACTACTGGCTCCCCCCTCACCCTGAGATAGTGCTTCTCATCCTACTCAACAGCAGATAGTTGTGTATTGTAGAAGTGCTGGACCCTTGAGTGGATGTAGATAAGTGGTACAATTCCTGAATCTTGGAGGGAGATCTCTATTGACAAGGGTATCCTTCACCAGGGCTTGTATGCTGGCAATAATAATGAATAGGTAATTATGGTATGGTGAAGAATATGTAATGCCAGTATGGGTTGCTTGCCAGAAAGCTTCACCATTGACACAAACATGCATTTTCACATGTGGACCTTTACACTTAAAGATCAAATTCTACCAATGCATCCCTCTATGTATGATGATTAATAATAAGATATGTCGGGTGTAAAATGCTGTGAGTTTTAAATATTTACACTTCCAAAGCTTTAACTTCCTGCTTTGAAAGTGCAAATGACAGTTTGCCAAAACAATGCCCAATTAGATTGCCTTGTCATCAGCAGAGCATTGCTGGAAAATCTCATGACATAACAGGGAAAGGCATTTTCCTCCTCTTAGATTATGTGCATGTTCACATGTCCTAGTCACATGTGCCAGAAATCCAGGAAGTAAAAAGGAGAGCTAGTA